TTTCATTTCATTTTATTAAACAAAGTGTACGAAAGGCGAAGAGTTTTTGTAATGATTTAAAAAAATCAATTACACTTTATCAAGACTTTTTTTAGACTTGCAATTAGGCATGTAGTTTTAAAACCATGAGTCCTGGTATGATATTATAATCTGAGAAAAAAGAAAAGAATAAATAAATAAATAAATAAGCGACAAGAGTCTGAAGAAAGAGTAAATTAATTTTCAAAAAGTCATTTAATAAAATCATTAATAACTTTTCTTACATCCATTATCGAATTTTACAAAGAATTTCATTTTATTTTATTTCAAATTTCGATTTAATCCAATTTTCTTTCCCTTTATCGTATTCATGTATTTATTTTTTTGTTTGTTTTGTTCATTTATTTATTTATTTTTTTGTTTGTTTTGTTCATTTATTTATTTTTTTGTTTGTTTTGTTCATTTCTGTATTTTTTTGTTCTGTTTTGTTCATTTATTCACTTTTTTGTTTGTTTTGTTCATTTGTGTACTTTTTTGTTTGTTTTGTTCAATTATTTACTTTTTTGTTTGTTTGTTCATTCTACTTGAATTTAAGTAGGAAAAGTATTTTTTTGAATGGGCTTATATAATTCAGTATAAAGGATTATTGGCAGGCCTCGTCGATTCGTCATGGCCAGGTGTTCAACCTCTCGATGCAAATCGATAGTTCGGTTAATTCAATTGCGAGTTGGAAGTCCCATCCGTTTGATTATGCGTGCCTGGGTTGGGGCGATAGGTATAATCGACGTGTAACACATTACATATCACACGTGTCAAACTTTTTTTCTTTCTTTCTTTTTTTTTTTTTTTTTTTTTTTGTCTTTTCGTTTTCTTCTTTTTTTCCCCCGTCACATCTCTATTACACATAAAATGTTATAAGTCAATGAAAGGACAATGACAGTGCACAAAGTCATTGGTATATATTTTTTTTATTACATTGTATAAATCGAGTTATTCGAGGTTTCATTTTTTTTTTTTTTTTTTTAATTGCTATAATTTATGTATATATATATATATATATATTTTTTTTTTATTTATACAATTTTATTTATATTTTATTTATACAATTTAATATATTCTACAATCGAGACATGTTCGATTAATTAATTATACATTTCCAAATTATAAAATATCATATATGCAAATATATATATATATTTTTTTTCTTTTTTAATACTTACTATCATATTTCTAATACTTACAATCTCTTCTAATCTCCGATCTCTTCTAAAATAAATTATTGTGATAACAGGATAATGAATGAAGTGGACAAAAACAAAAAACAAAACAAACAAAAAAAAGAAGAAGAAGAAGAAGAAAGGATTAAGAAACGATAAACAAATTTTTTTTTTTTTCTTTTTAAATACAAATCTCCAATGAAATATTTTTCAAGGAATATGAATATTATATAATTAAAATATTTATTATTAACATCATCATCATTATTATTATTATTAATTATTATTGTAATTTCCATGGTATTAAGTTATAAATTATGCTCATAGAGCTTCTGCTGTCTTATCTTTACGGGGGTCTGTGAACTGACATGGGGGTGGGGTTGTACGAGTAGAGAACCATATATATATATATATATATGGTTAATTACAATGCACACCGATGTTTACTAGAGGGTCTTCCAAGTATATATGGGGGTATATAAGGGAGAGGTAACAACACAGAGGAAAAGAACGAGCAGCTGGTGCTTACTACTTTTAATGGCTGTCATCCCCATAGAGCCCCCCCGTGGGTCAGTTTCGATAATACCAACTAATACTACCCCCTCTCTCTCTCTCTCTCTCTCTTTTTTGTCCCCTTCTCCATCCTCATTTTCCCATCGTCGGCACGATACCGTTAAATCGAAAAATCGACGGGTTTCTCTCTCCTACACTTCAATAATGGATTTCCGACCGTTACACCATAAAAAGAGAAATCCGATTAAATGTTATGGCTAATTAATTGTGAGAAAAGTTATAAAAAGAATCTTGTGAGAATGAACGATCATTCCTTTCGATTACTCTACTTTTCTCTTTTCTCTTTTTCTTTTTTTTTTATTTATTTATTTATTTATTTATTTATTTTTTTTTTTTTCTTTTAACCGAGAATATTGCCACGATCGTATTAGAAAGAAGAAGGAATAAAAAGGATTAGGAAAAAGAAAATAAATAAATAAATTTTATTAATATTTATATAAATTTATTTATTTATTTATTTTTTTATTTCCTTTCTCTCTCTCTCTCTCTCTCTCTCTCTCTCTCTCTTTCGAATATATCTTAATTGTGTTGATAGGGTAATGTCCAAGTATCAACATATATATATATATATATCATTCGACAAGATAGAAAAGATAGATAGATAACTATGAACAGTGAACTCGTGTTATTTCGTTGTCACCCCGTATTGCGCCCCCATGTAGTAGCATCGAGAGACCACCATGAAGACAACTCGACAGTTCGTTATTTCCAGGTGGTACCATATTTAAATG